GGGGGGGGGGGGGGGGGGGGGGGGGGGGGGGGGGGGGGCCCCCTACACGTGAAGTTTTCACGTGATTCATGATTCTCGAGGCTGCGAGCCCTTGACTTGCTAAAGCAAGAGCAACTCCAGCTAGCTGATGCTAGCTTTCGTGATCAAATTAAAATACAGTAAATTAAATCTGTATAACATCTATGATTGTCTATGTCATACATGGTCAATTAAATGGTGGTCATGTCGGTGTTTAGTGGGTGAACCTTGAGGCTGAAACGCAGTGATTCTTCTATCGACCACCAGAACATAATCCTCTTCCCCAAGGATGCACTGAGTGAGGTGCGTTAAATGTAGTATCCTCTGTCAGAAAGCAGCACTGCCCAGCCTCAAGAAATGCAGCTTCACGATGCTTTCCATAGAGTCCACTCTCTGTTTGCATGAATTTCTTCCCCCCCTAGGGAGCCTTCAGAAAGGGCTGAGCCACGGGAGCGTCGGTCTCCAGCTCCTGCGGTCATTGAGTCAACGCATTGATTCATTGTCAAAGCATTAGTTTTTTGTAAAAGGCCATTGCTGTTAGGTTGGAGGCCATTGGTTCTAGGTTGGAGGCTATCAAAGGTCAGAAACTCCAGCGAGACTTGATGAAGTGTTTGACGCGCAAATCTGATCTTATCATTCTGCAGCCTGCACATCACTCGCCCAGGTGTTCCTGTTGTCCTTTTTTTGCCGAAGTGGTGACGGAAAAGGCCCGAGCAGAACATCGAAAGGAACATCTCCCAACTTCAAGAGGTGAAACAGTTCGCTCAGTTCACTCTGTCGCACAGTGTCCCTTCTGATCACCTTCAAATGCTTGTATTGTTCCGTCGTTCCGTGCTAGAAGCATCCGCTTCAAATCACCTCAAAGGCACCAAAACTCCTTCTACACTCATGTGCTGTCTCAGTAGATGCCCTCAACTGCAGGAAAGCAGAGCATGCGGAGCGAGATGTCGTCTGGCAGGCGTCTGGCCAGTCAGGATATCTTTCCAGAACCCATCATTAGCAAGAGTCTGTAAATTTGATTGAGGCTGCTGCTGATGTATCGTGGAGGCGTTGCGTGGCTTCATTGCGTGCTTTTGAGGTCATCACTCTTCTGGGCGTACCTGGATCCAAGCTGTGAACTGGGTACTGTACGTACTCAAATCAGTGCATGCGGCGACATGTATGGCTAATAGAATGTAGCAAACTGGTGGAACAGTTGCAAAGCCAAGGACATGCAGCTCATGGTATCATTTCGAAAGTCGGTCGTGCAGTACAATATAATAGATATTACTATATATATATATAATTATATATTCCTTCTGACAGCTACATCACATTCAGGGTACGTCGATGTATGTTCAATCAGATTCACACATCAAACTTTAATTATCAACCCAAAACATCTCTGGATCTGACCAAAGGACGCTCGTCGTGCTCGGACCTGTGCAAAATGTTGCGGTTCCAAGTGCGCCAAAGACCGATCCAAATTTTTTGGCAAAAGTAGCGCCGTCAACTCATCGCCATAAACTGCACCTGCCCACTTTGCACCGTGAAAAAACATGAAAAATAACAAAGAAATTCAACACAACGTGATTGTTTTCTGACAATCTCAACTGTCGTTTAAAAACGACATACACGCAGGCGTGCGACAAACACAACGTTGATTCCATCCACTCCCCAGGCATATGGATGCCTGAGGAGGTACTTGCGCGTACTCTCAGCGTGGATCCCTGATCTCTGTCTGACCAAGTGTACACATGCACGAGGTGCAACCTACTCGGTCAATCTCCCATCAAACAGAATCGAACATGACCAGCATTTCTCTCAACCTGCCAGAAACCCAGCAGTCATCATCCAATGGTTGCTCCTAGTATAAGTGGCTAGGCCTGTGTCCAAACCTATGGCGAAGGGTTCTCGTTGCAAACCTCGACGAGCATCGTGGCCAAAAATCACCTGTCCGAACCACATGCGTCACAAAGGGAAAAATGAAATAGAATTGCAATCAAGGGAATTTGAATAGGAGACACCCACTTGTGGTCTGAGACAAGGTGACATTTCAAACTGTATGAGGACTGTTGATTTTAGATGATTTTAGAACACTCACTGAAAAACTGAAAGCAAACGCATCAGGGTGATCAGCCTTGCTATGCAATTTTACTGTGGCCGCTTCGTTGGACAATCGCACACTGGATGGACCCCCAGGCTTTGAAAGTAGCGGACCCTTGTTCCCAGGGTGTTCACAAACTCAAATTCACAACAACATCAACAATCAACTAGGGTTCTTCATTGTAAGTAATTGACTCCGTTCTACTTCATAGATCTTCATAGCACGTTATCCAAAAAATACATGCCTCTGCCTGGTGTCCGACTACCTCCTCTGATTTGGTTGTGCTGAATCTCTATTGTTCACCCAATATTACGTTATTCTTGTTGTTTTCTTCCGCCTGGTTTTCCAAGAGTCAACGGTACGTTTCGCAGTAAGTGGATCTACAGTAAGTGGCCTGCATGGGGCCACGCCAGTGCCTGGCCCAACCACCGCCACCCGCATCGTATTGTTTGGAAGCGCGACCTGACTAACTAACGGCGGGCCTGACCAAAAAACAAGATAACGATCAGCAAGTCTTGCTACCAGGTTTTATATATGTTTTTTGGGGTGTGTGTGCGTGTCATGTCTTGTCCATTTGAAAGGATTGTAATATATTGTTGTGAAGTTCACCCAAAACCCACGCAAACTCCCAATTGTTAAGAGCACCAATTTGTGGTTTTGTGCTACACCCTGCCACCTTCCTGACAACACAACAATCACCACGGGATACCACGGGCATGCTCCATGTACACGCGCCTGGCCCCTCAAATGATTCAAATTCAAGACATGTACGTGAGATTGGTTGTGGTTGGGCTCTTTGCATGGGGCCGAAAGTGAAGGCTAAATGGATGTTGTGTGGAGAAAGGGGGTCAACAAAAATGGTTCATGCGGCTTCTGTTGACGGCAACTCTCTCTTGTATATACTGTAGCTCGCCCGTCAACGACAAAGAAGCTGCAGCAATCAATCAACCCGTGGCAACGCTAGTCCCATAACGGTTGCTGCTTCGATAGCATACATAGCAAACAGTGGGCGCCTGTTCATGACGACACGGCACAAGCAAACTTCAAGAACTCCACCAATGATGCTGCTGATCCAGTCTTGATCATCCCCGTCAGGATGTCCGGATGGGTTCCGACGTGAACCCAGAGGTTTTCGGATTCAAGTTGATCGCGACGACTCTCCTGCCGGCGGCCCGAAATGGGAAATCTGCATCCTTTTTGTCACTTTCGTGAAGCATTTGTAGTTGCTTTGCACCGTTGAAGTCTCTGGTCACGCAGTACTCTTTGCCAGTCGTGATGATCTTGACTGGGCTTCGCTCGATGACTGGCAGCCACTTTCCTTGACTCTGCGCAATTCCAACTCTGGACCTGCTATGCCAATGGTGTAATTTGCTGTCGCCCGCCTTGCTGCTTGACCATGTTGGTTAGCGCACGACCGGCGATCACATGTGTCTCCATGACGCTAGGGAACTCCTGGTTGCCTTGGGCCTTTTTTGAGTGACTTTCCAAAGTCACGCAATTTTACAACGTCATACCTATAGTTAACTAGTTGCTGCAATCGCTCCAACCTGCATTCAAACGTCCCAAACTTAATAAATTCCAGACGCAAACAACCCTGAACGCAGGGGTTTCCTCGCAGCCATGAAACAACAGCCTTGGGCGTGGCTCCTTGATCGCCTCGACGCACCTCGCCAGGATCTCGTAGATCATGCCAACTCGAAAAAGGTCCGACGTCCTCGAATTCCAATATCAATTTCAAGTTAACTCTGCATCATTTGGACTGTGCCTTGAGCAGAAATACATCGCCAGACTTCTCACTGTTCTGCTGCGTCAAACGCAGACGAGGCCATGGAACTGCGGTCTCTAGCAACAGACCTCAAGCGGCGGATGCGTCGGCGTCACCCTTGCATTCTTGTGGCTTGACTGACCGAGGGCTCCGAGTCAACCTGTCATCTTCTTCCAAGTCAACTTTTTTGAGATCTGAGGATTCACTTCATTCGGCTCACGTCAACATAGCGCAAGCTTCATCCTGGGCGCTTGTGTATTCTGTTGCCCAACCCAAGCTTTCGATCTGATCCAATACTGAAGCTGTCACTGAGCTCGCAGTCGGAGGAAAAGAACAGGTAGTGGGAGAAGAGACAGATAGAGACAGCAGAGGCTGTCAAAAAGACAGCCGGTCAGGGAGTCATCAGATGTTACGCGCGGTGTCCTGTGTCCCATATAAGCGACCCCAACACACGCTATATCTTCTGGTTCATCTCCTTGATCTCCATATATCTCCACGATGTCGTCTTCGTCGTCCTCAAAAAGACACTGGCTCCATCGCTCAACGCAAAAATACCCAAAGGCTCATCGCTCGTCGAGTAACCGGCCCCATGGCCTAGCGCTTTGGGCATTGAGGGCTGCCAAACACTGTAGACGGTCTTGAACTGACAGTCTGACCCCTTGCATGGTCTTGCCACCGCCTTTCACTGCTCTTCCTTTTTAGGGCTTTTCCGCAGCCTTTTTGCAGCTGCCACATAGCCCACACAACCTCCACTCCTCACCGACTTGCCTATAGCAGCCGTCCTGAGATCAATTGTCCAGTCACCGGCTTGGCAATCCAGTATAGCTCTTTTGCGCCCAAAATCAACTGTGGAATTCCATCTTTTGCAGCAAGGCGGCAACTCTGATGTCCTGAGCTGCCAAGTGACTCTCAAACCTTCGAGCGCTGTGCCAATTCAGCTCGCAAGCCGAACTTCCGAGGTCATCTTCTCCACGTCCATTGCCAAGGGGTCACTGCTCCTCAGGGAGGCCAAGGCATCGATGTCAATGTCAAGTTCTCCTTTCTCTTCTCCTCCTCCGGACGTCAAACTGCTCGCGTGGGGTCCACGTCATCCACATCGTTCGCGTCCACACGCTGGAGCCCTAACGGGAGATGATGATCCAGACTCGCTAGCCATGGTCCTTTTCAGCCATCTTCTTCTTGATCTTCTGCACTCTCGTCTGCTCACACACGACCAACCAAGCTCAAACAACAGTCAGCTATATAAATAGGCTTGGCCATTTCAGCTTTGTCAAAATCTTTTTGCAAACATGAGCCCTTCTCGAAACTGAACACCGCAACTGCTTTATTCCCCACCGCTCTGTACATGATTATACTGAGACATGCGTGGCTGCGTGGCTTAATCTTTGAGACAAGCGTATGACTATGACTACTGGCAGGATCAACCAGGTTTCAGCCTCACGCGCTGGGCTTGGACATCACCACGGCAGCTTAAGTCCAGCGCAACTTTCCGCGCAGCTGAACATTCTGCAATCAGCAACCCTGCAACAGAGATGCTCTCTCCAACGGTTGGAGTCCAACCTTCCCCCTTTCAGCCACTGCTGTGTGGGTACAAGACAAGCCTGTGTAAAAAGCGACTTTGAAGGCCCTGCAAAACTGTTGATATAGCAGAGCCAGCTAAAGCTGCCGAACACGCCAGGGCCTGAGCCGCTGTGAAGGAAACACTCTCCAGCATCGGCTCCGCTACCAGTATCAATCTGGACGCGATCAGTTTGTTTTCGTCTCCACTAGCACCCTGAGTTGTTGAGCCCAAGTCAAGGGGCGCGGTCCGGTACCGGCAACCTGGCTCATTCTATACAAAGCTGCTAACACAGCTAGAATCACGCAAGTATACGAGTCTGGTACTCTGTCACCACATCAGCTTCGTTGACGTCACATCAAATGTTAACTGCTGCGCAGCAAGGAAAGTCAAATCACATCAGCCCTTCGCAAACCAAGTGATTTTACAAACAGTTCCAGCAAATAAAGCTCGGACCAGGCATACAAAAGCACTATACAACTGACATTTTCACGCACAACATTGTATGGCTACACCTACGGTGACATGCATGCGTTGGCGACACACTTCCTTTCATTATAATTACAACGACACGAACTTGGGCAGCGTACAGCCTGCAACAAAAGCAGCAACGCATATTCAATACAATCTCTTATTTGATATTTTTTGTCCATTCAAAGCTTCAAAGCAGTGCACTATGACGTTGGGCACGAGCTACGGCAAAGTCATTTACAATATTTTACAATCTTTACAACATTGAACTCAAACCGGTTTGGGACGAAACCTTTGAGCCAATCATAATCAAGAACAAACCATTAGATCCAACCACAGCCCGCGTACTCACATAAATGACTTTCCACCTTCGTGGTCGAAGCTGCGCAAATTGACCAGATTCTCCGGCTCTTGTTGCTCGATTGAAACACCTGGCGCCATCATGTAGCAACTATTCAGTTCCTAACGCCCACATTGGATGTCGAGTGGTCTCTTGGTGTCAATGTGAGCTCTAGAAGGGTATTGCATGGTGAGTGATGGCTCCACTCCACAGTCGGCCAAATGTTTTTGCCCACACTCTGAAAAGCACTGCAGTCTCCACACCTGGTACAAGACCAGCATGAACCACCATGACAGGCAAAGGAGACTGAGGCAAATCCAGCTGAAGCTTCAACGGAAGGGACTCCAACCAATCCCACTCGTCTTCCTGCAAAAGTATCAAAAGTGAAGGATCACATGAATCACATGGACTGTCCTGTCTGTAGGATTTACACTAGAATGAGGCGCTACTACTCATTCTGCGTGCAACCTTCAGCGCACTTAAGGGCAGCCAGTTGGAATGGTGTCATGATGACCTCTCTGTGAATATGTTCAAGCTATCTGGGACGCTACTCATTGCAATGACAAAGCGTGACAAACCCATTCTTCGGCGACACCAAGTGTGCCTGGCCTCTAGCCCTTTCACAGTTGCGGCGTACCTTTCTTTGATTCGCCCTTCAGGATCCGGAAGTATGCCACCACGCTTCCGCCATTGCAAGAGGTTGTACTCGTGGTTTCCCTGGACCTCAAAGAACTCAGCGTTCGCCAAGAAATCCATAAAGCGTTGAATCTCAAGTCGCGATACATCAAAGCTTTGGCGTGAATGAGCGGGCTGTTTCCTTTGTCAATGTCATGCACGGGCAGGAAGAGTGGACTTGATCCAAGCAGGACCAATGAAAATTCGGAACTTCTTGATTGCATCATAACACTAAACAGTCAGGTACACACAAAGCGTCCGAAATGGACCCACGTGACTTTGTAGTGAAGTTTGTGCGCGTGTTTTTGTCTGTAAACAATTATAGACATATATATATATTATATATATATGTGCAAGTGAAACAGTCATGTGGTCCGAGCAGCTGCTTTCGCTGAGTACTTTCGCGCGATACGGACCACTTCCTCGGGCGAAGGACCTGCCGAAAGTGTGGGATAAAAAAAATGTGTGGGAAGGCCCTCAGAGCAGGTCGATGAATCTGCAAGGTTGGCCAGGGCGCCCATCAACCCTTTGTAAGTACAGGCAAAATTGCTGCTGCAGTGTTCTAGTTCTGACAGGTACCAATGCGCGCATGACTACAAATATCCTGATTCTGATACACATGTTCTCTTGACGGTTGTTCAGCAGCAGCGCCTTTCCCGATGAGGTCTCCCACGAACACGAGCTCATCCAAGCTTGGGTGGAACTGGGAGGCCTACGTCAGTATGTTTTCAACACGACCGACTAACCGGCGCTAACTAACTCATCGACCCTTGACCTTGAGCGAGAGAGAGAGAGAGAATGCGTGGATACATGTACCACATAACTTCGTCACCGCATCCCTTCTTTGACAGTGTATATATGAAGCTTATATTTGGTGGATGGTTCTTGGTTATTGAACTTATAGACTTGCCAAAGACTAATAGACTAGCTCAAGGTGAAAACTCGGTGAGATGCAACTGATCTACCACACCATGATGCTAATGATGTCATATTTCTACACACTGATTCCTATGGAAAATGGTTCGCACTCCTTCTTGGCGATGTGAGACTCTAAAAAGCTTCTTTGAGCTCACTTTGCCACCGTAGTCCACTTTCTTCCATTCAATTCTTTCGCAAGCTTTTGTATTTCTCCAAGGAAATGGGTTCCCAGAGCTTGGCGATATTTCTGTTTGTGGTCTATTTGGAAAATCTCTCCTGCTTGCGCATTCTATACTATAACAAGTCTTGATACTTCTCCATCTCCTTCTCCACCATACCTGCTGCCTCCTGATGTCCTCTGCCCATCAGGTTCCAATGTTTTTCATTCAGTTGACCAAGTTTTGCTTCAGGTCAGCCACACATTTGGCTTGCCTGTTCTGTGATATTTTGTTCTCTGATTGATATTTATCTGTTTCCTATCTTGAACATTCTGTTCAATGATCCTTCTGATGGTGCTGCTCCATCTGTAGCTGCCTTCAACATCACTGCGTGTCCCCAATATTGTCCTTCTGATGCTTGCATATCTTCCAAGCTCCTTCTGGCTAAGACTGCTAAGAAGTTCCCTGCGTTCAACTCTTGTAGCACATCATAAGAAATGATTGTAGGGATGTTTGGCGCTTCATGTTCGTAAAGCCTCCATCGAGAATCAACCCACAATGAATTCACCTGGCATGGCTGTGTAACTGATCAGTTCTCTCTTCACAGCGCTCAAACTCTCCGATTTCATTGGTACGTTCTGCGATTTGGAACTCTGCGTTGTCTGTTCCGTAGTCTGTATATAGGTTCCCAAGCTTCCCAATAGCGGGCGCTTCTCAACTCGATAGAACATATCATCATATCGCTTTTCCATGTGCTTGTAGAGCTTCCATTGCGCATGCGCAAAGATTGCTGCTGCAAAACCAATGGTAATGATCATGATGATCACTGCAATCCAAAATTTCCTGTTGTCATTGGCTTCCTCCAAATCCTCCAACTTCATTCTTCCTCTTGAGGAATGTTGCTGCAACCATTGGCTGCAAGCCCTCTAATGCTACCATTCTCACAAGCGCCCTGGCAATTTTGTTGACCTTTCATGCAAAGTTCTTTTCTCTGCATACATTTTTCTCGCGTTCTCCTACTCTTGTTTGGTCTTCACTTTGCCAATAGCCAATGAGGTTCATCAAGTATCTGATTCTTTGTCCTCCCAGTGGCTTTGCGTTGAGGTCTGCCATGTTGCTATCTGTTGGTACCTGTACCATCTTGAAGTCTTTCCTGTTTTGAATCCATAACAACTTTCATCCGAGTGTCTCACTTTTCCAACTCCTCTCTTCATCACAAGTTGGCGCGCACCAGAGGAATCTGTAAAGATGTAATGGTCCACCTTTGTCCCAGGAGCAAATTCCAGAACTGCTCGAATATAGATTACATCTGATGCTGAGGAAACAATGCCATGTAGTTCTGATTCACAAGAAGAAGCTAATGATCTTCTGTGTCCTCCTGCTGTTGAACAAGGGGCAACTATTCAATGCATGAAATCCTCCTGGCGTTGACTTTCTGTGGCTCTTGTTTCCACTCCAGTCTGCATCTGAGAATGTCTCCAAGCACCAATCGCTTTCTCCTTTCTTGACATAACCTTCTACCGCTTGTGGAACTTTAAGCGCTAGACAATAGTCCATAGACTTCTTCAAAGCCAAATCCTTCGCTGTAAACGTTACATCATACCTCTCTTGACAAAGGCAGATAACTGATCCAACAGTGCTTCTGAATCTTCTCTCTTGTTCACGCAAGACTCCTGACTTGTCTTGCATCTGGATCGAGTTGTCTGCTGGTAACTGCTGAAGTTTGATCTTGCCAATCTGCCCTTCATAGGCTTTCAGCATCTGCTGGATGTAGTTACCTGGCTGGGTCCATAGTCCATCAACTTCTACAAACGTACTTGCTCCCCAGCAAAACTGAACTCCTCACCAATCTTCTCAACCTTGCCCACACTGGTGTCAAATTTGCCTTGAACCTTTGGAAGAAAGATTTCTTTGATGTACTTTGAGTGTCCTGTGAAAATCAAGTCTTCCACATTCCACACGGATCAAAATGATAGTCTTCTCGTTTCTTCCTAGGTGTGGACACTCAGCACTGAACTTATAATTGAGTTCCTTTGCGAGGTATTCTGTGAAAACGTCAAACCACACGATTGCTCCAACTTGTCCAGGTAGGTTTCTCTTCACTAAGCATTCCTCTCCTCTCAAGTTCACTCCTAATGGCCTCTCTTGTGGAACTTGTAGGAATGCGTCTTCCACACTAACACATCCTAGCTCCTGTGAAAATGCTCCTTACCTTCTCTTCCACCTCTTGACTCCTCTTGACTGCAAGGCCATCTCCAAGTTGATATGGTTTCTTTCTCCAGTCATGCACATTGCGTGTCGCCAAACAACTGATTCCTTTTGTCCTTCCTTCTGGTTTCTCTAGCACTTGCATTTTCTGGAGTCTTTTCTCTTCCACTTCATCAGCTACTCTGTCCATCCATTCTTCTGGATCTCCTTCAGGTTCATGTTCTCCATCACGCCACAAACATTAAGGTCCAATGGTTTCTTCTAAGTCCGCATCATCGTCTTCATCATCATCCCAATCTTCTTCGCCAACTTCTTCTGCAACTGGGGATAACTCCTCATCTACATGGCAAAGACCTTCTCCTCCAACTTTCACCACGTTGATCTTGGCCTTCTGGCTTGAATCGTCCGATGGCCTGCGGTTCTTCATTGGGCTTTCCTCTTCAAGCAACTCAATTGCTTCTCTTGGTCTTGATGGTGCTGATGATGATCTCAGTGAAGATAGTATAGGAGTAACTGGATTAGGCCGTCCTGCTGGCAATTAATGATGTAGAGGGAAATGCCTTCACCTCCTCAAGCGCTTTCTCATCTGTGAAGAGAACTTTCTGCTTCTTACTTGGTGTCTCTTCTCCGTTTTAGGATTATTTTTTGACCCGTTTTAGGGTTCTTTCTTGACCCGTTTTAGGATTCTTTTTTGACCTGTTTTAAGCGCAAGTCGCGATCCTGTGGAACACCAGCAGTGCCAAGGTCTCAACAAATTTACAACTGAAACACCAAACGTGACCTTGCTCCTCCAGACCTAGCTCATGTTTAAAGAAAACAATGTGGTGCGTGGGGCTCTCTCTCTCTCTCGTGGGCCATAATGATGTCAACGTCCTGCTTGAGATGGCCATTGGTGGTCATCAACTCTTCACAACGCGGCGAACCTCCAGCAAATCTTTCAGCTCATCACTGCAGCCATGCACGTCGCCTACAACCACTACCCGACCTGGCGGCAAAGGGAAAGTCATCGACTGAACTCTCTGCAAAAAATTATGCAATCGTTTTGTACGTTGGGCGGGCGGTTAGAGCCGGATTCGGAAACTAATCGGTCGGATTCTGAAACTAGGGTTCTGAAACTGGGGTTCTGAAACTAGGGTTCTGAAACTTGGATTCTGAAACTAGGGTTCTGAAACTGGGGTTCTGAAACTAGGATTCTGAAACTGGGGTTCTGAAACTAGGATTCTGAAACTGGGATTCTGAAACTTGTATCTGAAACTGGAAAGTCAGATTCTGCAACTGGTATTCTGAAACTGGAAAGTCAGACTCTGCAACTTGCCTTCTGAAACTTGCAACTGATCTCCACATCATGCGATAGCGTGTGTGCCTGTGACATCACCTTCGAAGCACATCCAAACCAACGTCATTAGCCCCCCACCCCCCAACCTCCCCTTGTCCCCATCGTGTGATCTCGACATCCCTCATCATTCACAAAGTTGCGGAATCCTAGCGAGGGAGTCCACAATGTTGCGGAATCCTAGTTGCGGAACGCCAGTTGCGGAATCCCAGTCGCAGAATCCTAGTTGCGGAATCTTGACAGTTGCGGAATCCTAGTTTCGGAATCCTAGTTGCGGAATCCTAGTTGCGGAATTCTAGTTGCGGAATCCTAGTTGCGGAATCCTAGTTTCGGAATCCCAGTTGCGGAATCCCAGTTGCGGAATCCGACCAAACAGTTGCGGAATCCTAGTTGCGGAATCCTGCGCAGTTGCGGAACTTGACTTTATCCTTGGGCGGGCGGCTTGTAAATGGCGGTAAAAGAGAGATCCACAGGAGATCTGCTGTATCGACTTTTTGGGGACTTGGCAACGTGCCGATGATACGCTTACAATTCTTGAGAGAGTAAGTCACTCACTACCTCTAGGCTGTCTGTTGAAACATGCTTTGCCAAAGCTTCAACATACCATAAACTTTGGATAACTTTATGCCAACGCATATTCGCCATTTGGCCTCTATACCATCTCACACTTCCACCTGGGCATTCTTCACCGCAAACCATGTACAAGCGCAATCGAGTTGATAAAAGCTGGCCGCGCAACTCTGAGCACTCTGATGATCTCTGATGGACGTGGACATTGAAGACCAAGTGGCACCACTTTGTCTTGGAACACTGCAAGGAGCTACATTCAGCCCCCATACCTTCTAACTTTACTTCAACTCCGGCAACATGGACCTTGGGACACGAAAGGATCAGCCAGATGAATGCCAATTGGACACTAGCTGCTCGAAACATGCCTTGTTGGTTGGAGATTTGATATGAGTTGATGAGATTTGGTTCGCTTCCGTTGGAAGAATCGATGGCACGGTCCGGGCCACATCGTGGGATCAAAGGGAAGACCTGCCGTCTGCTTGGTTCATGCAGGAGTCTCGCTGGGCCTGCTAGCAAGCCATGCCCCATGACTCAGGCAATTATGCGCACTTCTCTACTAATTCATTTATATATACTTGAGGCCAAGGGGGGGGGCGAAAGCTAGCGCTCCAGAATGGGAAAGTGGAGGGCAGCGAGGTAGGAAAAAACACGGTGCTCTTTTTGGAGGCAGGGGTGAAGAGTCCTTTATATGTGGCTCTTTGCCCGGATCCTCCTGCGAGAGAAGAGAGAGAAGAGAGACAGAAAGACGAGAGACAGAGAGGAGAGAGAGAGAGAGAGAGAGAGAGAGAGGAGAGAGAGATGAGAGAGATGAGAAAGAGATGAGAGAGATGAGAGAGATGAGAGAGACAGTGAGACAGTGAGACAGTGAGAGAGTGAGAGTGAGAGTGAGCGAGTGCGGCCGCAAGATACGCAACGCTAACCGCATGCCAAAGAGCGACGACAGGACGGAGTCGAACTTGCGAAGAGGGAGGAGGGAGGGAGGGAAGATGGGAGGAAGACAAGGAGGAGGAGAGGGGGGGAGGTGGGGAGAGGGGAGGTGGGGAGAGGGGAGGAGGGTGGGGGGGGGTCTTCGACCTGAAAAATCAGGGGTTAGGATTTGCACCCGGTCGAAAGAAACCTTGCTATCGCAAGAGTAACTCCAGCTAGCTTCGCTAGCTTTCGTGATATATAGAGAGAGAGAGAGAGAGAGATTCTAGGCTTTAGATATGCCTGAGTGGGATGAGCTGGATTTGCCCGCCATTTGCCACACTACAGCCTCCATGCAGGCAGGGAAGCTAATGAAGCAATGCATCCATCAGAGATATCCTGATGAACCAAGACCAGGTTAGTCCCAGACCTTCCTTTCAAGGCACAACACCCAAGAGCCAGGGACGGAGGTCATTCCAGACTCCTACCTTCTCACATGCCCCCTTTGGCCCATCGCCAACTCTGCAACAAAGAATGCATCGAATCTTGCCACTTGTCGGGTACGAGCACTTTGCAGGTCACCTGTTCAAGAGGGCAAGAAACATCCGAGTGCACATTTGATCATTTTAGATTTCTGCCGGCGAAGGATCAGGATTAGCGGTTTCATTGGATCAGGATCAGGATGGCCAATCGCTTTGCAGAATGCAAGCACCCCAACTCGACCACTCAAGGTGACATCTCAGCCATGGCATAAGGCACACTCATCAAGGGGGTTTTTGGCGATGTGTATGCCAAGCTGGAGGATTGCCGGAAGAAGGCATTGAGGGCTACAGCTTCATGACTGCTTCAGCGTCTACTGAAGACAGGGATTGCATCACACGCTCCCTTCGCAAAAGGTGAGCTTCGCGTAGACCTCTCACAACCGAGTCTTACACAGTTTGACAATGCTGAGATTGTACTGTAGTGGTTCATTCTCACATCGTGAGTAAAACACTGTCCGCCTGTCCACTTAGGGTGAGTGGGACATCAAACCAGTGGATTGGACCTACAGTAGTTCGACAATGCAATTTCAATGACCCTGCACCTGCCTGCGCGGGATCTGGTTGAGAACCAGCAGGTTCCGAGGCAGCTCGCCAACGAAATGGTCTAGGTGTGGCTGGCATCCGAACTTCTCAAAATATAAGTTACTAGTAGCGTCCTTGCTCCTAGTAGTACGGCCAGTAGTGATGCCCTTTTGTTACTAGTAGCGCCCTTGCTCCTAAGCATTCGATTGGGTCTCTGGGAACAGACGACTGAACATGCCTCATTGTGGAAACATCGGAAAACACTTCCATTCCACCAACAGGTGGCTTCTCTGTTTTGCAGTCGGACAAATCTGTTGAAAAATGAACCGAAGTAACAACACTTCCGTGGCTGTGGGGTCGAGAACGTCCGAACATGTGATGTCGATGCGGTTGTTGCTGAGTGAGGATTCCATGCTTCTTGTTGGGATGCTTTCCTAAACATCTAAGAACTAAATGATTGGTGCGAGCGCTTCTTCAAGGAAGCGTGAGTTATCCTGCAACCTACCTAGGAGCGGCCTACCTAATAGCTACTAGCTTACCTCTTCCTATAGCGGCCTACCCCTCCTGGGCTATTGAAGCAAAACAAAAAATGAAACTGACGTGACGTTCACCCTCACAGCTTGTCTCAAGACGTAGACCTTAAGACACACCAATCGCAGCTGCCTGGAAGACTCTATCAAACCTCTCAAAAAGAACTAGCATCTGATCTCCCATCAAACTTCAAAGCAAATCTTCCAAAATGCCGAAGTGTTGTTTTGGCTCCAAAACATGAAGAGGTCGTTTCATCTGGTTGGATCTGACAGCTGCATCTTATGACTCACGGTCCACTTGGGCCCTAATTCAAAGACGCTCTGAACATCAGGATTGCTTTTTGAGAGTAGCACGTGCCACGAGTTGTTGCCTTGGAATGTTCTTGACAATTCGGCACTTTTGCTTGATAAATGATAAATACCGACATAATTAGCTTCCTTGCACGAAGAATTAATTTCTGGGTCCGAATAGAACTTGAGTAAAAGTCTGGGAGTCCGCAGCATAGCTCCCCATTGGTCATGAACATCCCAGTTGCTTTCCTCTTCTCTGCAGCTCCAGCGTCCAGCAACAACTTGGGGTTGCACCAGCGCTGGAGGCGGTGCAGCGTAAGAAACAGCAACGATGAGCGCATGCAGTGCATGCGCGATAGCAAGTTCCAAGGAACTCTCTCGAATCATGTATGACGATGCCGTGACCAATGTATGGGAGCAGGACCCAATGAGCTGTTTTCATGGTTTGATTTACTTAACACTTCCTGGCTTTCTGCAGCTGCGTTGCTAGGCGATTGCATGGTAGTACATATTTGTCAAGACAAGTTACGTAATACCTGCTGAGCCGTCAAGTATATAACTAAGTTGTCCCAAATCATGATTCAACATGTAGGTTGAGCCATGCTCATTAAAAGGGCAATTGATTGAAAGCGCCCAACAATGCACAGAACGACCTACAACTGTGGTCTTAAGGCTTCATTGTCATTGCTGCAATCATCTGGTGTCTTCTCCAAAGCGATACCCCCAAGATGAGTTTGAGGTGTAGCTCCCTTCCAGGGATCCTCTCCTTTGGTGGCTCTGGCTCCTCCTCTGCCATAGGCTGGTCCTACAGCGTCTCAACAGCAGAATCCTTGAGCCCTTCAGTCCGGGGCACCCTGAGGGTTGGACAATAGACAACCAACAAAGCAGTTACAACAGTAACATCAAACGAAAAAGAAATCAACAAACTGATGACACTGACACATGACGACAAGAAAATAATAACTAAGAATAACTAAACCAAATATAGCAGGGGG